AAACTATATATAAGAGATAATGCATTTTAAAGGATTTTTTTTTGTAGAATCAGAGAAGCTCTTAGAGTGTGTCTTTTTATTGTAATATCGTGAGAGAAGTCACTCCTTAGCATCATGGCAGTACTTATGGCAGTACTCATGGCAGTACTCATGGCAGTGCTCATGGCAGTACTCATGGCAGTACTCATGGCAGTACTCATGGCAGTACTCATGGCAGTACTAATGGCAGTACTTATGGCAGTACCCATGGCAGTACTTATGGCAGTGCCCATGGCAGTACCCATGGCAGTACTTAATTTGTCAGAATAATTGTTGTACAATAATGACTCCATATCATAGAGTTTAACATTTTTTTTAATATACATGTATATATATTTTTTTTTTTTTTTAAAGTTTTGAGATTTATGTTTCAAAAAGAATTTACAAAATCCAATACAATGGTTCTTAAATTATTATTTTTTGGCGGAGAAAAACACATTAAGTATGTGAGCCATCATTAAGCAAAGATAAGTTTTGTGGAGTCTTAGCAGAAGATTGAATGAGCAAAAAACAAAGACTGTTAGTTATATATCTCGTGTGATCTCCATCCAACTATTTACCAGTTATATTTTGTCGCCAAATAGCACCTATTGGGAACAGCTGATCCGACTTATCTTACTAGTGCCTGGGCTTGATGAGAAAAGTACCCCCGTCACTTATAATTAAGTCAGCTGACCATTGTGTGCAGCCCCCATTACTGCCTGGCTAATAGCTCCACCGTCACCCCCAGCGTGTCTTTGTTATTGTCAAAGCAGGTCATCACGTGGTCACGTGACAATTTTAACTGCCGGCCACGCCCCTTATTGTGCCTTGGGTAAAAGAAGTCTTATTCACCTGGTCTTTTTTTTTTTGTTCTTCTTTCTTTTTCTTCTTTTCAAAGAGTAGCTGTGATTGAGTCCCAGACAGGTATGATTGGTTCTGATTGTATGGTCAAGTGCAATTAGAGTGACCCGGGCGTTCCCCTTTGTGTCCAGTGTCGTGTGCCATATTGGACTCCGGTGGTCAGTTAATCAATGACTAGCTGATTTTGTCACTTTAAAAAAAAAAGGAGGAGGAGAAGGGTGTGGGATTGGGGGAGGGGGGAAATGAAGTCATGGCCCCCAGGGTCAAGGTGGCAAAGTGCGATCAGTGCAATCCAGTCTTGAAAGCGTAGACACATTCGCTGGTTTGGAGAGACGCGAAAGGGGAAAATACAAAACATTGGCGTTGCTGTCAAAGACTGCGTGTAAGATTGTTTGCAAGTGCTGTGGAACCTTGCCATAACCCGATTGGTAACGGTCCACATTTCGGATGTCGTAAATAGTGGGGGTCGCTTTTATTCGAAGTTTTACAATATATATATAATATATTTGCGAATTACTCCATCACTATTAATTCCCAAAAGACCCTTATACCGACGTATAGATGCCATGCCAACTAATAGCCGCCTCTGTTCAGTATGAATAGCGTTGCGATTATTAACACTAATATAGCAGACTTTAAAAGTTAAACATTTTTTTTTATAAAAACATTTACCCCCACCCCTCCGCCCATGTACTTCAAAAATATTTTTTTTCACGTGTATTTGAATAGACTCAATAGCTGAGCCGTGCCATGACGGCGTTGTGTCCCAATCTGCGTCATGGGAGGCGTTCAAGTAGGGGTTCAAAGGTTATTGGATGTCAGATGAGGTCGTGGAGACTCAATGATGTTGTGTGGGACTCCATGGGGCTGTGTGGGACTCCATGCGATTGTATGGGGGCCACATGCATTTACGAAATGAATCAAGTATTGTTATTTTAAATCATAGATTGTATTCGATTCAACATACAGAGGCCATAAGCCACATACAGAGGCCATAAGCCACATACACCGGCCATAAGCCACATACAGAGGCCATAAGCCACATACAGAGGCCATAAGCCACATACAGAGGCCATAAGCCACATACAGAGGGCATAAGCCACATACAGAGGCCATAAGCCACATACAGAGGCCATAAGCCACATACACAGGCCATAAGCCACATACACAGGCCATAAGCCACATACACAGGCCATAAGCCACATACACAGGCCATAAGCCACATACACAGGCCATAAGCCACATACAGAGGCCATAAGCCACATACACAGGCCATAAGCCACATACACAGGCCATAAGCCACATACAGAGGCCATAAGCCACGCAGTTGCCAGTTATTAAAGAAAATACTCATTTTGAACCGCCTCTAAATCAACATCTAGATCCGAACAGAGGTCCTCAAGTTTTGATCGAGTTGAGGCTAGCGGCTCATGGTGACAACAAATGGAGCTCTTAAGTGTTCTTGTGGAGAAACAAATTTGTCTGCGGAGAGAAAGATTGTCCCAAGCGCCAAAATAGCCAAAAATAGGCCTTGTCACTAACCAAACTTCTATCAGAATTAAGTGAAACTTTAAGTAACCACAACCTGTCATGGTAGTTTTGCAGAGCCAAAAAAAACATGGGGGGGGGGGGCTTTGAAATTCTCA